AATCCCATCATGGGAGACCCATTTTCATGACCTTATCTAACCTGAATTACCTCTCAAAGGTCCATCTCCACAGGCTATTAAATTGGAGGATTAGGGCTTCAATTTAAGAATTTTGAGGGGACTCAAACATTCAGTTCATAACAGCAATAAAACATCATGTAGCTAGGTGCATACCTATAATCCCAGCAGCTCAGGAGACTGAGACAGGAGGATTGAAAGTTCAAAACCAGCCACAGCAATTTAGAGAGGCCCTAAGCAACCTAGCAAGACCCTGTCTCAAAATATTTTTTAAAACGTCTGGGGATGTGGCTCAGTGGTTAAGCACCCCTGGGTTCAATCCCTGGTATTAAAAAGAAGAAGGAGAAGAAAAAGATGTACTATCCAGGTCTGGATAAGGTTTAGGAATAACATAACCCACTCTGTCTTTTTCATTGAATGTAGCTACAAAATCTAGACAGAACTCATGGACCAGCTACCCAAGGACTGTGAAGGATAAAAAGTAGCAGGTGGACTGGGGAAGAAGACCAGAATTCAAAGTACTACTGAACTAGCAGTGAGTTTTCTGTTTTTGTTTTTTCCCCCACTAGAATCCCCTGGTTTAGATCTCAGAAAGTTTGAAACTCAGAACCTCAGAATTGGTACTAGGGCACAGATAGAGATCAGAGAATAAATCAGTAATTGCCAGGTGTTGGGGTGGAGGAGAAAGAACAACTACAAAAAAATAACACATGGAATTTTTTAGAGTAATGGAACCATTCTGTATTCCAATTGTGGTTGTGTTTATATAAATCTATTCTCATATTAAAATTCATAGAACTGGGGCTGGGGATGTGGCTTAGTTGTAGAGTGTTTGCCTGGCATGCATAAGGCCCTCAATACCAAACAAAAAATAAAAATTCACAGAACTGGCCAGACATGGTGGCACATGCCCATAATCCCAGATGCTCAGGAGGCTGAGGCAGGAGGATCGCAAATTCAAATCCAGCCTCAGCAATTTAGCAAGACCCTGTCTCAAAATAAAAAGGCCTGGGATGTGGCTCAGTGGTTAAGTGCCCCGGGGTTTAATCCTGGAACCAAAAATTACATAACAAATAAAATTCACACTTACATACACAGTCCATTTTACTGGTTGCTAATTTGAAAATAAAATTAAAATGCAATGTGTTGCTTTTTATTTGAAAACAATTTTTTGTCAGAATAAGTATGCATCAACAGATCACAACTGGGTGGAATTCATTAATTCCTTCTCAACTATATTTTTGAAATTTTTATATATTTTTTGGTCCTGGGAATTGAACCCAGGGGTGCTTTAAGCACTAAGCTATATCCCCAGACCTTTTTTTTAAATTCTTTTTTAAAAATATTTATTTTTTAGGTATATATGGACACAACACAAAGCCTTTATTTTTATGTGGTGCTGAGGATCGAACCTGGGTCCCAGCCCGTGCTAGGCAAGCACTGTACCACTGAGCCTTGATCCCAGCCCTCCCCAGGCCTTTTTATTTCTTCATTTTAAGACAGGATCTCCCAAAGTTGCTGAGGGTCTTCCTAAGTTGCTGAGGCTGGCCTGGAACTTGCCAATCTCCTGCCTCAGCAGGATCACACCACTCCAAGAGGTTACACCATTCTTAAAGCATATACTCCATTCTAGATTCACAACGGAGTTATGCAGACAATCTGTGCAGTCTCACTGGTGAGAATAAAGCTTTCTAGGGGAAAAGACTTAGGCTCAGTGAAAAGACACTGAAGAGTCCTCTGAACATCAAATGGGTTGACACAGCAGTTGGTTAATTCAGATAAATTCAGTGACCACTTGGTGGGGCAATTATGATCACAATCACAATCATTTCCTAAATGTTTAATATGTGACCCAGTTCTATTACATACATTACCTTCAATCCCACTACCAACCCTATAATGTAGATGTTATCCCCATTTTATAGATGAGGAAATTAAGGCTCAGAAAGGTTAAATCACCCCAAAACATATAAAGGGATCAAAGTGTGATTTGATCCAGGTACTCTAATTCCATAGCGCATCTACCTACCTTTCTTTCTTTACTGGAAGTGCTTTAGCACTGAGCCACTTCCTTAGACCTTTCTTTTGTTTATTTCAAGATAAGGTCTAAATTGCTGAAGTTGCCCTTGAACTTGTGATTCTCCTGCCTCGCCTCCCCAGTCACAGAGATTATAAACATGCACTGCTATGCCAGCCAGCACACCACGTTCTTACTACCATTCCACATTACCTTTGGCTGAAAATTCAATATTTAGTATTCCTTTCAATTCTAAGAATCTGTGATTTAGGGCTGAGATTGTGGCTCAGTGGTAGAGCGCTTGCCTAGCATGGGCGGGACCTGTGTTGGATCCTCAGCACCACATAGAAATAAAGGCATTGTGTTGTGTCCATCTACACCTAATAAATAAATATTTAAAAAAAGAATCTGATTTATTGAATTTTGTCCTCCTAGATACCTATTTATATCTTTCCTATTTCTACAACACTAGAACAGTGGTCTTTCTCAAGGAAAAAGATGGCACGTGTTTTACCTTTTTTTTTTTTTTTTGGTATCTGGGATTGAACACAGGGAAGCTCAACCACCAAGTCACATCCACAGCCCCTTTTTATATTTACTTATGATTCACTCAAAATAAAACAAATCGGTCATTGTTTCTCATAGCTTTAGACATGATTCAATTAATCTGCTTTACCTATTTATTTCCAATAGTCCCAAAGAAGGGCGAGGGAAGGGGTAAGTGGCTTCTTGACAACTGGTCAGTAAGGACTGCATGAAGACAGACTATGGAAAGCCAGTTAAATAAGCGTAAATTGGATTAAGTGATGAAGGAAATGGAATGTGGAAGATGGGACACAATCCAGCCAGAGGTTAGATATCCAGACGGAATTCTAACACTGTTTTTAGCTAGTTAGGAGTCATTAGCATCTCTTCTGCCTGCCACAAAACACCTCGGGGGAATACATCACTGTTGAGGAGTCAAGCCTTCCATTTCCTTTGCCTCACCAACCCCCTTTCTGATCCCTCATTAACATAAGAACTCAGAAGACAGAAAGAAATGGGTGTGGGCATGCCTTTGGCATTGGGCCTTACTAGGGTATTCAGAGCATTCAGAAAAGTGCTGGTATTTAAACTTAAGCTGCAGGCTAGAATGTGGGAAGATTTCTGAAACTCTTATCAGGTGTACTCTTCTGAAGGGGAATGACAATTTCAGCCCAGCCAATTTAGTGCACTCAAGTTTGTTTCTGTGACTCAAATTACAAGTTTGCCTTAAAAAAAAAAAATATATATATATATATTATATATATATTATATATTATATATATATTATATATTATATATATATATATATATTTTTTTAAGTTGTAGTTTTTTTAAGTTGTAGTTGGACACAATGCCTTCATTTTATTTATTTATTTTTAATGTGGTGCTGAGAATCAAACCCAGGGTCCCGCATGTGATCGGCAAGTGCTCCACCGCTGAGCCACAAGTTTGCCTCCCACCCCGCCCCCCTTATCCCTTTGTTTTGTTTTCTCCATTCTAGAATCAATGACAACAAAAGGTGGGTGGAGGGGAAGGGGAGTTGTTGTGTTTTTTTTTTTTTTTTTTTGGTACCAAGGATGAAACCGGGGTGCTTAACCGCTTAACCACTGAACCACATCCTAGCCCTTTTTGTGTTTTATTTTGAGACAAGGTCTAAATTGCTTATGGCCTCACTAAGTTGCTGAAACTGGCTTTGAACTTGTGATCTTTCTGCCTCAGCCTCAGGAGCTGCTGGGACTACAAGTGGGAAGGGGAAATTTTTTTTGCGGGGGACGGGGTACCGGGGATTGAACTCAAGGGTACTTGATCAGTGAGCCACCTCCCCAGCCCTATTTTGTGTTTTATTTAGAGACAGGGTCTCACTGAGTTGCTTAGCGCCTTGCTGTTGCTGAGGCTGGCATTGAACTTGCAATCCTCCACCCTCAGCAACAGGGGCCGCCGAGATTATAGGTAGGTGCCACCATACCTGGTGCACTATTACTTTTTCACTGTAGGTGAAAGGAAAATACCTAGCAGATACTTCTCTCTTAAGCACCTAGTATCAGCTGGCTTTGCCCTTGCTTTTGCTTTTGGAAGAATTTCTTCCAGTTTCTGGACAGGAAATATCATTTCTTTTTGCTCAGGAAATATCTTTAAATTGGGGAATGTGTCTATCAGTTGTACATAGAAATATTTAACATTTTTGTAAATGTGGTGTGCTCAGATGCATTAAATTTTATACGGAGATTAACAATTCTGATGCTATGATTATCTCTGAGGATAAAAAAAAAATGTTGTGGTTTGGAAAGAAATGATAAGACATGCCAAGGTATTGACTTCTAAAATCTGAAGTCTGGTTAAGCATCTGACTTTTATCTACTAATTTCTTTTTCTTGTATAAAACCCACTCAGCAACCTAAGTAAGGAAGTTTTCCCCAAGTGATTTATGAATGGGGATCAAATATGGGGCAAATCTCTAGCTTAAAAAAATCAACAGCTCTATGAAGACTTACATTCCTATAAGTGTTTTAGTCTTTAGAACTCCATCACAGCAAGGACTGTGTAAGTTCAATAAGTGGCCGTTATTAGACAGATGGGAATAACAGCCAACTTTAATGATGGTCTTCAGTGAAATGAGAAATATTCACAAAGATATTTTCATGGATAGATTAATATTTTAAACGTAATTATCTTGGGGTGATAAGGATTGAACCTTATAGGTTTTATGCAACTATCATAAATGGTATATAGACTACTGATCAGTAAGATTTAGCAACAGGGATATATTAAAATTTGGAATGAGAGAACCAAGAGGTCAAAGGGACGGAAAGACCTGGCCTCTTTACAAGTCACAGAAGATAAACATTTCACACAAGATGTCACGGAACATCTTAAAAGATGAAATCAACATGAGGACACAAAGGAGATATGAAGAATTATTGTCCTTATAGGCTTCTGGGAATGAGAGGATATCAATCCATAGTTTAATGAAAATATCATCTGACATATTATAGTATTATACCTGAATGTTTATTGATTATCTACTAAATGTCAGGCATTAAACTCAGCTTTTTATATGCATTGTCTCATTTAATTCCCAATGCAGATCCATAGCATGTATACTGTACTATTCCCTTTTTTGGTGGGGGGAGCAAGTACTGGGGATTGAATTCAAGGGCCTATTTTTGTTTGTCTTTTCATACTGGGGATTTTTTACCAGGGATACTTTACCACTGAACTAATAGCCCTATTTTGTGTTTTATTTAGAGAACTGTCTCAATGAGTTGCTAAGTGCCTCCCTTGTTTAGCTGAGGCTGGCTTTGAACTCACCATACAGGCATGTAACACCACACCCGGTTATCTTGTTCCTATAAAGGTAGTAAACAGCAGATTTTAAATTCAAACCAGATCTGTAAAGATCTGCTGGGAGCCATTAGCCAAGTAGGTATGACAATTTCCTTGCCAGCGTACCCCATGTTGCAGTGACATTGCATGTAGGTGACCTTGCTCAAGGACCAGGGCGGATTAGGGTGTTCCCGGTTTAGGATAATCGGGTTTAGGGCGTTCCAGGTTTAAGATTATTCCTGCTGGGAATAGGGCGTATCCTGCTGCCTGAGTTCCCCTTGAGTTCTCAAGGGATTCAGACAGTATATTTTGGGAGATAGAAGCCCAGTGGAGGTGGATTTGGGCAGAGAACGTGGATTTCCCCAGAACGTGATTGTAGACGGCTGGTGTGAGTTCGGGAATAAAGAGTTGCTGTTTGAATCTACAAGCTGTGTGGTGGCTCGTGATTTGTGCCCAGCCAGACTGTGGCAAAGATCCATGTTGTTGTTGTTGTTGTTGTGTGTGTGTGTGTGTGTGTGTGTGTGTGTGCTGGGAATTACACCTAGGGCCTTGTGCATCAGAGGCAAGCACTCTGCCAACTGAGCTATATATCCCTAGTTCCGCCAAAGTCCATGTTCTTAAGCCTGGAAATCATTCTGATTCTGTTTCTGATGGACGCATCAAGAGCAGACCTGTCATGATAGGGCAATAATAATTGCGGTCAGTAAAATTATTTCTTTACCTGTTCTACTTTTTACCATTTATCATTCCTCCACTCCACCGCCATACTTCTCTCCAGAGGTTAAATCTATAGCAATAGGGCCTGAAATTATCTATTAAATATATCAAATTTTGAAAGACCAAAAAAAAAAGACATTTACTGGCGAGCATAGTGGTGCATGCCTGTAATCTCCAGCAATTCAGGAGGCTAAGGTAAAGTTCTAAGCCAGTCTCCTCAATTTAGTGAGACCCTGTCTCAAAATAAGAAAATAAGCTGGGCTGGGCACAATGGCAAACACCTGTGATCCCAGCAATTTAGGAGGCAGAGGCAAGGAGGGTCAAAAGTTCAAAGCCAGCCTCAGCAACTTAGCCAGGTTCTAAGCAATTTAGAGAAATTCTGTCTCAAAATAAAAAATAGAAAAGGTTAGGGATGTGGCTCAATGGTTAAGCACCCCTTGGTAAATCCACAGTACCAATAAATTAAAATACAGAACAGAAAGGGTTGGGGATGTAGTTCAGTGGTAAAGTATCCCTGGTAAAAAATCCCCAGTATGAAAAAACAAACAAAAATTATTAATTTTATTAATTAAACTCCTCCTACTACTAGACACCCTCTTTTCCTGAGAAGTTCATATCTGATAGAGTGCAGACTCAAACTGTGATTTTGGGAACTAAGCACCATGCCAATGCTAAACATAGTGAATCACAGGAGCTGACAGAATGTACATAGACTTTAAGTGAACTTGTGCTTAGAAAACAAAAGATCTGAAATTCTTCTTATTCATTTATGCTTCAAGTTTACAAGTTATTCTGGCTAATAGAGAAAGAGGATCAGAGAAAGAATTCATGCAATCTTAATTTTTAATATGTTAAGTACCAATACAGAATCTCTTCCAAAATTCTTCCAAGGGCATGTTCCTAGAATCAGGTAAATGAGAGCAAGCAAGTGACCTACTTACAGAAAAATTGCTCCAGGTTATAAAGGATGGGAAGTCAAGTGCATCCTGGAAACCACAGCATCTGGTCTTGTTTTATTCCTCATCTATCAATCTGTTGTTACAGGAATTGAGAATTAACATTTCAACTACTGATTCTTCTATTTTGGCTAATGAATTTATATCTTTGTTATTCTTACCCTTCCCTCATCTTCCATTAAAAAAATATGAAAGAGATTGTATGAAGGTCTCAGATGAACTTCACTTTTTATTTATGCCTGAAGTTTTCCTAATGAGGCTACAGAAAAGTTAGCCATTTTCTTGAAGCAATTCCATTTTTCATCAATCCTAACTTCTTTTTTTTTTTTGAGGGGGGGTACCAGGGATTAAACTCAGGGATACTTGACCACTGAGTAACATCCCCACCCCTATTATGTATTTTATTTAGAGTCAGGGTCCCACTGAGTTGCTTAGCACCTCGAAGTTACTAAAGCTGGCTCTAGTCTCAGCCTCCCAAACTGCTGGGATTACAGGCGTGCGCAGCAACTGGCAATCCTGATTTTTCATGGAAAGTTGGTTTATTTTGGTACCAGGGATTGAACCCAAGGATACTTTACTGCTGAGCTACATTGCTTTGTATTTGATCAAGCCCCAGCCCTTTGCTTTGTATTTTTCTATTTCAAGACAGGGTTTCACTAAGTTGCTTTGGACCTTGCTAAATTGTTGAAGCTGGCCTCAAATTTGAAATCTTTCTGCCTCAGCCTCCAAACCATTGGGATTACAAGTGAGCATCACCGCACCCAGCTTTGAAAAGTATCATTTGAACAGTATATTTTCAGTACTGTAGGAAAGCTGAACAACAAAATGCTGTAGATTTTTAAATAAATATCTAAATTCTAGAAAATGTTTTTTGTAGCAGTAACTCTAAAAAACATACAACTGGGCCAGGAGCCATGGCACACACCTGTAATCTCAGCAACTCAGCAGGGTAAAGTAAGAGGATCCCAAATTGAAGGTGAGCCTCAGCAACTTAGAGAGGGCCTGTCTCAAAATAAAAAACAAAAAGGGATGGGGGGTGAAGCTCAGTGATAAAGTACCTCCAAATCCAATCTGTGTTAAAACACACACACACATACACACACAATTGGCAGTACTGCTTGAAAAAAAGTGTTACATAAAAATGTAAGATGGATTAGTACTACCCCGATGAATAAAAACTAATTTTCATGTACACTTATTATACTATGTGTAAAAGTTTAAAAAACATAAAAGTATGAAAAGTAGATTTACAACTATATGTTCTTTGAATTTTAATGTTGTCTTTTAGCTCTCCATGCTTTCTATAGAATGGAGTTATCAATTTATCTTTCCACTTGTTCCAATCAGTTGAAATTTTAATTTTTCACTATTTTTTAAAATATGTTTTTTTAGTTATAGATGGACACAATACCTTTATTTTGCTTATTTTATTTTTATGTGGTGCCGAGGATCAAACCCAATGCTTCACACATGTGAAGCAGGCACTCTACCTCTGAGCCACAACCCCAACATCAAATTTTTCACTATTTTTGCCCTGATTCTATCTTATTCTATTGGAGCTCAAGTATATAATCTTGGTCTTTTTCAGTGCTTTCATAGCTTCAGGTATAGCTCCATATTCTTGTTTTATTTTTCTTTCTTCATCCATTCATTTACCTTGTCAAAATAATAATTAAGATTATTCCCTTCTGATAAAATACTTGAAAAGGAACAAGGTTACTATTATACTGATCACTGCTATATAATTTCATTTATTTATTCTGCTCTTTCCAAATCACTGTCAAGTGAATTATTTCTAATGAGCAACAAATAGAGTCAGGTTTATTGTGTTTACTTATCCAAAGATTGTTTTATTCCAAAGGGATCTTACTCCAAATGTCCTCATAAAGCCTTCTTGATTTAATTTCTTTTTTTTTTTTTAATGTATCTCAGTTGGCTTACTGGTTCAGATGACCAGATAAGCCTTTTGAGATAGGGTGATAGATTTTTGCAAATATACATCTAAAATTTTCACTGACTAGGGCAGAACTACTTATACCTGAATCATCTCAGTTGTTTGTCAGTTTGTTTATTGGCTGATTGGCTTAACCAACAGAAACTTATTTCTCACCATTCCGGAGGTTGGGAAGTATAGGACCAGGGTACTGGCAGATGGTCTGTCTGGTGAAGGCATTCTTTCTGGCCTGCCGAAAGACATCTTCTTATCATATCCTCACATGACAGAGATTTCAGATGGTTCATAAAACTGCAGATCTGGGCCCAAACCTAGAACAGTTGGATGGGAGCCTCTAAGTTTAGGAGCCAGGAATCTGCATTTTGCCAAGCTGTCTGTGTGAATCTACACACAATAAAATTGAAGAACAGCCAATCTAAGGACTCTCTTCCCACCAGGTATTCAGTGCATTGATCTAAGCTGCAGAGCAAACTAACCACTCCTACCTTCTAAAGAACATGGAAAATTTGGTTCCATAGGGGAGAACTGTTATAACTGTTTCAAGAAGAATTGGTGTAGTTTTTTTTTTTTCCTTCAGTAACTATAATTATTTATAATACTGATTCTAAAAAGGAGCAAAGGCCAAAAAGTTATAATTTCCTGATTAATACTGCACATAATGAATTATTTATTGAATCCCTACTGTGGGCCAAATGTGATATTCTGTGTTGCCAGGGATTATATAAAGCTATCCTGGGATGAAAAGCATATGTTCATTCTATTTTGGAAGAACATACTTGATTTAGTGATTGCTGGAAATGAATGTGCATAGTACATAGAAAGACACTAATGTGATGTGTTAGGGCCCAGACATAAGAAATTTCCTAAAGATTTGCTACAAGGAAACATTAGATCCAAAAGGTAAAGGCAAAGCACTAGGTAGGAATGAGCAGCAGCATTTATTTTGGACTAAACTATTCCTGGGCTGGGGATGTGGCTCAAGCGGTAGCGTGCTCGCCTGTCATGCGTGCGGCCCAGGTTCGATCCTCAGCACCACATACAAACAAAGATGTTGTGTCCACCGAGAACTAAAAAAATAAATAAATATTAAAAAAAATAATAATAAAAAAAATAAAAATAAATAAACTATTCCTGATCAGCCTTGATTTTTTTTACCCAACAGTTTCCTTTCCTGTGAAAACTTTCCTCAGATATTAGGTAGATGAACTGAAAGTAGATTAAAATATTGAGAGCTCCACTTCACGATAGGACTTGTTTAGTATGTCCTTAGTATAGGGTGTGTTTTATCATTGAAAACCCCCATGCTGGGCATGTGCACATACCAAACAAGGCCATGCATTCAAGACAGCAGGAGTTGGGGAGCTACTGCTCCCCCAGGAAGCAGTTGGGATAGAGGGTAGAGGAATTGGGTAGTGCAGCTCACAGATAATTCTAAAAAAAAAAAAAATTTTGAAGAAAACCCGCATTCCCCAAATCCTTTCACTCTCAAGCAAACTGGATAGGTTTGGTCATCCCGGACCTGAGAGTAAGGCAGGTAAGCTGCTTAGTTGAAGAAGTTTCACAGTAAATAATGATAATCCTTTGCCTTCTTGAATTTCTCAGTTCATTTTTCTTACTAGGGGCTATGATTACCCTAGTTGGCCTCAAAACCTAAAGTTTTTTCCTTTCATAACACCTTCTTTTGGGCCTTGTCAAATCATATCCCTGTGAACCTCCCAAGCAGTGACTTAAGTTTGGGATCATCCCAGAGAACCAGTGGAGAGTCTCTTCCAAGCCTGCTAAGCACTGATGTCCTCTGCTTTTTTGTGAACATTTTCCTGGCTTCATAATATCCTGTTCTTAAAGACCTATCTTCATCTAGTATTCCCAAACCTAGCTTCACATTACTCTTTTTTTTTTTAGAGAGAGAATTTTTAATATTTATTTTAGTTTTCGGCAGACACAACATCTTTGTTTGTATGTGGTGCTGAGGATCCAACCGGGGCTGCACGCATGCCAGGCGAGCGCGCTACCGCTTGAGCCACATCCCCAGCCCCCACATTACTTTTTTTTTTTTTTTTTTTAAATTAAGAATATAGACACATATATAGGAAGCCTTAAAAACAAAAAAGGTCTGGATGTAAAACATTAACCGCTTATAGTATTAAATTCCATTCTATTCTTGTCAATGAACTATATACTACAATATTACAAGATTGTAACAGTGGTAGCATTTGCTAATTCAATAATCAGGCTGCAGAATTCTTTAGCTATCCAAGACGATCCCTACAGCAGACAGATACAAACTGCCTTTCCGAGGAAAATATGGAAGGGAATTGTCTCATGACTTTATAATAGTCTCACCACCTCTATCTAAAGGAAGTGATGCCTCTTTTATCTGGGGACAGGGCTAATGTTATCTCGCCCCATCTCGCCCCCAGGCAGTCTGTGTAGTCAGTTTGTTCCCTTAGGACCTCTAGTGTCACGTCGCTCATTCTAGAGGATAAGGAAAAAAAAAAAAGGAAAGGGAAAGGAAAGGAGTGGTGGTGGTAGAGAAGTAAAAATACGTGAGAGAAATAAAAATATATATTATCAAATACCCTATTCCGTCCCAACTGCTAGTCCTGCCTGCGTGGGCTGCTCAGTCATTTCGTCAAAGGTTTTTCAGGCGCCACCCCCAGGTGTTTGTCAGTACAAAAATGGGAGAGCAGGGTGAGCTCACTCTAAAAACTAAGACAGATGGTGAGGGGTGGCCATGCGCGTCGAGCTTTGGCTAGACAGAGCAGCAGCACAAGGAACTGCATGGGGTGATGGGAAAGAGTCAAAATCAGCTGGCGTCAGGAAAAAGATTTTTGTTCTTTGCGTTCTCAAGAAGCCTCCCTTAGGGCTGGGGATGTGGCTCAAGCGGTAGCGGGCTCGCCTGGCATGCGTGCGGCCCGGGTTCGACCCTCAGCACCACATACTAACAAAGATGTTGTGTCTGCCGGAAAAATAAAATAAATAAATATTAAAAAAAAAAAAAAAAAAGAAGCCTCCCTTATTTGTTAGTGTTGCTCCCAGCAGGCCAACAGGGCAAGGACTTTATGGTGATAAGCGCCTTCTCCAATTCAATCTGAGACACAGCTCTGATCCCTGGAAAGCTGCTTGCAGACACTCTGGCTTCACGGAAAGACTCAGCTCAGCGAGTACCAGAGAAAGCACGAGGTACGCGAACCCACTCGCATGCAGCGACAAGCCATTTCTAGGACACCACAGCGCTCGTTCCAGGCCTGCGCCGCGGCTCGCGCACGCTCAGTGTAGGGGGCGGGCCGCGGCTCCGCCGGAAGCGCTTTCTCCCAGGCGGCATTTCCTTCCTGTGCAAGGCCGGCTGAAGGTTCCTGCTGCTGCTGTTTCTTCCTCCGGGTGAGTAGCGGGTTCCCGCGGGTCCTGGTGAGACTCATACAGGATCTCTCCGAGCTCTCTTAGGGACTGGCTCCACTCTGGGAAAACCCACCGGAAAGGTCACCTCGCCCTCTTCTAAGTCCCACCTCAGTGCCGCCCCCCAGCGCTCTGTAGCCCTTGCTATCGAGCGGATTAACCTCCAAGGGCGTCCCGGGCCTCGCCTTGGCTTCGGGCCCGACTTGGGCCCTGGGTCTCTGTGGGCGCAGCCTAAAGACTTATACCATTCCCAAGGGAATCTCTATAGACAGCCTGGACACTGTGGAGGCTTAGGGTCGTCCCGGACGACTTCAGAACTAGGGTTCATGGGCCAAGGCAGCCTGAATGAGCCGGGTCTGGTTGTTGCACTGGTGCTTCTATTATTTTGTGCAAAAGTAGAGGTGTTGTGTAACCCAATTTTGAGGGCTGGGCAGGCTTTCACAGAGAATGATGATGTTAACTTGTCCTCTCTGTGAAGGCAGGAAGGCCTTCATCGTAGGGCCTTGAAGTCTGTGAAACTGGGACTTTTTGAGTTTGAGAAACCCGTTGTAAAAAGCTGCAGTGACCTAGAGAAATAATACAGCATGAATGCTATACTCTCGTCTCTTAATCTGTCAGTAAATTGCTCATAGATGAGGTAGTATGATCTTAAAGTTTTCCATCCTGAAATCGAGAAATCAAAATAAACCATTTGGAATTCATGGTTGCCTAACAGATAACTGAATTGCCGGAGTTTTGCGATGCATAGAACTGAGTATATGTACATCTTTGTGTATTCGTTTTGTTGAACCTAATGTTTATGCAAGATAGAAATGCTTCCATCCTGTTATGTGCATTGGCAGCTTTTATTTGTATTCTTCTGGAATGGTATTGTTTCTGTAATAGCCTTACCTTGGAAGTATATCAGTGCTGTAAGAATGTGCTGTAAGTGCACATCTCATCTACAGATAAAATGTAAAGTATTTGCAGTTACAGTCTACAAAGCAAGAGCTTTCAGTTTCATTTCAGGATTCTGAAGTCATTTAAAAAGGTAGACAATATACAATTTTAGAATTGCCATCAGTACACTGCTGTACTATTATGTTAATAATTTTAGAATAGGAAACTATATAAACTGGTTTCTTATCTCGGCATTTTAAAATAGGATTAAAAATTGTAACTATCTTGATGACTTTGGAATGTGCTTTGGAAACAACCTTAATTTGTTCATGTAGTTCAGTGAACATCCAGTAGATGGCAGTTTATCACTACCAACTCAAACTTTATAGACCAATGAAAATGTTTTATTGGAATGTCACCACTTTTCACAAATTGTTAATAAAACTCCTACTTTGCCTGCTGGATTATTTTCATCCATGAATTGTACCTCAGATTATGTCGCCACACATTGCTACTGCATTTTCAATTTTATTCTGATGGAATAAAGACTGAAGAAGTCAATTTTTCACTTTGTGTGAGAAGTGTTTTGTAACCCAACTTTAAAAATCCATCCTGATGGAAAAATCACACTTTGATTTGTTACCCGAGGAAAGATTTCAGTTATGTGGTTTTTTTATAGCTCCATTTTAAAAAATAATTCATTATAATTAATATAATTAGTTTCTTAAGTAGTTAGGCATTATTGTATATCCACTATATAGTAAGCTTTGTATATAGATGTTTAATAAATGGCCATTGAATGGATTAAATTGTTTAATATCCTTGGGCCAAAATTTCTTCATCCAAAATGAAGGACTTCAGTTATTTGGTTGTGTTTAAATTATTGTATTTTGGTACTGGGGATTGAAACCAGGTATGCTTAACCACGGCACCAATACCCAGCTCCCTCCCACTTTTGTATTTTATTTAGAGACTGGGTCTTGCTGAGTTGCTGAGGCTGGCTTTGAACTTGCAGTCTTCCTGCTTCAGCCACTGGGACTACAGGCATGCACCACCATGCCCATCAGTTATGTTTAAATTAAGTAATGTAATTATTGTGAAGTGAATGGTTCTGAGTAATAATGTGAAACCTTGACTTTTGGAAATTCTGCAGAAGTCTGACTTTGTTGATTGAATGGAAGATTTTTCTTCAGTAGAACAAATAATTTTTGAATAGTCTCTTTGTGTGACAGTTGTAAAGATGTCAATAAGATGAAAATCCTGTTTATGAGGATTTAAACTCTAGTTGAGTAGAATAGATATAAATCCAATAATGATTTAAAATAAGACATTTCTTAAAATTGTGTAGAACTAAATAAATAATATAGAGAGTTAATGTGATTTGAAAGACTTTATGGAGCAGATAAGGTTAGTGTTTGAAGTTTGTATAGAATTTGAGTCATCTTAAATGAATGAGGGGAAATGGCCCCTCCAGGGCACAGACAAATATAAGACTGAAGGAGAAATTTGGCATTTTCTATGCCAGTGACTTCATTTGTTGAGAGTTCCTATTGAGAAATTTGAGAAATGGTCAGAGATAAAAGGTTTTAAAGTGACTCTTTGGAGCTAGATGAGGATAGGTTTGAATCCTGCAAAGGGAAAGCTTTGAAGTCTTGATAAGGAAGAAATAGAGTATACGTGAATGAATAGGAGGTCTATAATAGAATTAAAAATATTGTGAAGTTAAAAAAAATATTGTGGAATTAAAAATTAAAAATATTGTGGAGAGATGTTCCAGAGGGAAGGAGATGAAGAGGATCTTTAACTTAGAAGAGAAAACAATAATTTAGAGCTGGAAGGACCATGGATTTTAATCTCTGCAGTACCTGATTTTTAGGTGCTATTAAGCTGTTTGCACAATTGTGATTTACTCCTTTCCACTTGAATGCAAAATATATATTCCTGTGTGCGTGTGTCTGCGTGTGTTTTGAATGGCATTGTTTGAAAATGAGATCCTATTCCCCAAAATGCAATTAGTCACATCATCCCTAATAAGTTTATTGTTTTATATACTTATTGCCTTTGACAGTGGAGTGCATGCCTCACTGTAAACCCAGCTGCAGTTGTTGTAGCTGTTAAGGGATATATACTTTATGTAAAAGTAAGCATATTACTTCCTTTTTCCCTGCTTTATTTTTGTGGTAGTTTTCTTGATTAAATCTTTTGAAAGTTCTATTGTTTCATATTTAGCTGGGTTGTTGGGAGCAATAGAGGGATCAAAAAATTTAATATCACTTATTAATTGAGAAAATGGAATACTTAAAATTAACCAGGCTTCAAAAAGTTTTAAAAGTAGGTATGAGAAAAAATAAATTATTTCGTAGTTTGAATTTCACTCTCAAAAATTATCTGGTATATAGATACCTAATTGAAGAGATAGATTGTCAGCATCATATTAGTAAAGCATTTCATTGTCAGGCAGCCTTTCTTCAGTTAGATTAGTGTAAAGTCATTATTTTCCAGATTTCCAGATTCTCTGGAATATTTATTTAAAAACTGAAAGTCACTTAAGACCATGTTTTTCAATAAAATTATTCTACTCCTAAATAAACTTGTTTTTTAATCTACTTCAATTTGTAAGAAAAGCTTTAAATGTGTTTGTTTATTTAACATTGAAAATCCACTTCTCCTTAAAAATGAAACACATTTTTCTA